ACAGGCTTGGACTGGTGCATTTAGGAAGTCATTACAGGCTTGGACTGGTGCATTTAGGAAGTCATTACAGGCTTGAACTGGTGCATTTAGGAAGTCATTACAGGCTTGGACTGGTGCATTTAGGAAGTTATTACAGGCTTGAACTGGTGTGGGACTGGATTACGGTAGAGCCTCTCCACATATTTGTTTCTACAATAAATCTTGTCCATATGAACACACTTAGCTGAGAGATCTTACCTTCTGGACTTTGTTGGCAAACTCCTGTGTCGACTCACCATCTTGTCTGGAAACTGGTGGAAGCCAACTGGAATCAACATGAGAAAGGAAAGAAAAACTCGATTAAAACATTGAAAAAAATAAAAATATTTAACAAAACAAACTCAAAACTTTAAACTACTAGGGGTGTAACAATACATCGATTTACATCGATATATCGATACAATGACTAATGATTCAATTATTTTGTGGCAAAACTAAAACATCGATTCATATCGTCATTTTTAAAATACGCTTTTATTTTGAAATTCCAAAGGCACGTCTGTGTCACCATTTCCGTGCGCGGCTGCGCTCTGCAGCCGCCTCAGCAATATGGCAGACGAGGCAGAGAACACAGATGATGACATTCTCTCTCCTGCTGGATTTAAATCAACTGTGTGGAAATATTTAGATTCCAGCAGAAGAACGGCTCAACAGACAGAACTCAGGTCGTATTCAACAGGTGACGGTGAATACTGTCGAATTTAGGTGTATAGAGTTATAATATTATTAAATTTAAATACTGTGAATTTAAATACTCGGGAAACAACAAATGTGTCCGTTCACAGGACATTGATAGCCATGTTATGTAAGTTCAATATCTGTTTCTTTATAAGTGAAAGGTCATCAGGGCACTTGTAAAGTAACTGTTTTAAAAAAATGCACTCAAACATGAGAAATGTGAGACTGTACTGAACAGGTCATTATTTTATTTTTTCATTAATTAAGAAAAAATGTTTTTTTAATTTAAATACCTGGTGCTTGTAATAACAGAAATAAAATGGTTATATCATATTGGAATTGCTTTTGTAAATGTATTTATATGTAAATGAGATGGGCATTTGATATCGCAATATATCGATCACAAACTTGTGAATCAAATAGAATCAAAATCGTACCGTGACAGACTTTGTGATATCAAGAAAAATTGTATCGTCATACAAACAAATCGTTGGTTACGTACTGTAACCCCAGATTCTATGACTATAGGCGTAGCCCTTTAAGGCTGTCGCTGACGGGGTTAATCCCGTCATGCGGAGCATTACACTGAAAAATTTAGTCCACGCCCACCTGCTGCGTGGGCCCTACCCGGTCCGTATAAATTACGTTAAGAGCGGGTAATCGGCTCCCAAATAACTTTTCTTCAGCCTCTAAGGAGCCAGAGAGGCCCGACGCTTAAAGGGCTACGCCTATACTCATAGAATCTGGGGTTACAGTACGTAACCAACGTTCTATTTCGTATAAGCTTCGCCCTTTAAGGCTGTCGCTGATGGGTTAAGGGCGAAGCAGATGTGGTCCTCGCCTCACTGGGTCCATTCGAACACCGTATGAAGCAGAAGCTTGCCCAAAAAACGTCTCGTCACTCAGCTCCCCATGTGCGTAATTACGCATTGCGTAATTATGTGTGCCATGCACAGACGCATGTTGTGTAACTATGCGTTCTGAATGCATGAACGCCCCGGAAAAAATTTCAAGGGGGAGGGACAAAAGCTGAAAAGAGCCATGAACCAACCGGTTTACGGCTGAACCGTATGAACAGATTAATAATAACAGGAGAGCTGATTATTAATCAAATGAACTGATTGGTAACAATAGTCATGAACTGATTAGTGACAATAGAACCAAAATAACAGTCACAACTTGTGACTAATAACATCTCACACTGTAATGCATGCAGACAGATGTGAGTTAAATGGAGTTCCATGAAACAACAATATTCATTCTGTAAAACACTAAGGACAGAATGTGTCATGGGACGGGCCGTCACATCACGTAGATAAAAGCGAATGAATGAGCAGGGTGTTGACCACGCGGCCGCAGTGCAAATATCCTGCATTGTCATACCATTATGCAAAGCAGTCGAAGATGCGATACCCCTGATCGAGTGCGCCCTGAGGTTGTCAGGAGGCTCTAAATCTGATGTTCTGTAGGCTTCAGAAATGGCCTCACACAGCCAGTGTGACAAGCGCTGGGTGGATAACGGGCGACCTGCAGATGCATCTCTATAATGCACAAACAAATGTTAAATTTGACGCATTGCAGCTGTGCGTGCTATGTAACACGTCAATGCCCGCACAGGACAGAGAAGATGGAAAACCGCTTCTTCCTCTGATTTGTGGGGGAAGGGAAAACCCCTCTAATGATATCGCTCTTGATTTAAAAGAGCCCGTGATGTTTTTAGGCATAAAGGCTGGGTTTGGTCTTAGATCAGCTGAGCTGCCGTCAGCCTGAATTCTGAGACATGACGGAACGACAGAGAGGGCAGATAAATCACTCACCCTCTTAGCAGATGTTAAAGCCAGCAGCAGCGCTGTTTAAAAAAAAAGAATTTAATTGGGACCTGATCCAGAGGCTCAACTGAAGCTTTGATCAGGGCCCACAGGACCAGCGTTAAATCCCACTGTGGAGCAAGTGGGCGTGAAACAGGCCTGCGTCTATGTACAACTTTTAAAAAACGCTTCATAATTGGATGATTAAAACCTGTTCTGTCTCCGAACCCTTCATGGCAGGCAGAGATGGCTGCAGCATACGTTTTAATCGTGCTGGACGCCAAATTTCTGTACATCAGCTGTCGCAGAAAGGATAGCACGTCGCCTAATGGACATGAAGGTGGCCTCTACACCTTTCTCTGTACATCAGCGCTGAAAACTGTCCACTTTGATGTGAACAGCACTGTGGTAGATGCAGCACGTGAATCCTGGATTGTGCGCACTACATCCTGTGGGAGACCCATCCCTTCTAAGCGGGTCCGCTCAGCGGCCAGACCCACAGGTGCTGGCCTATTTCTGGGTAACTCCTGATCGCTCCTCCTGCCTGGAGGAGAGCATCCTCCCTCCATGGCAGTTTCCATGGGCGCCCTGATAGCAAGTGTCGCAGGACTGGGAACCATGGTGCGTCCACGCGCTCGGGGGCCACCAGGAGAGCTGTCAATCCCTCCTCCTGAACTTGGTTCAAGAACCGTAAACTCAAAGGAGGTGGAGGAAACACGTACAGAAGCGTTTTGGGCCATGGGCAACACGTCCACCCCCAGCAGTGGTTCGTCTCGCAGGCTCAGAAAAAACCGTAGTTGACACTGAGCATTTTCTCGTGTCGCAAATAGGTTCACAGCTGCTTGCCAAATACCTGCCACGTCTGGGCCAACAGGTCTGGATGGAGAGTCCAGTCCCCGTGACGTGGGCCGCCCCTGGACATCACATCTGCCCCTTTGTTCAGAACACCGGAACTGTACACTGCTCTGATGGAGAGCAGATTTTGATGTGCCTAACACAGTAGTTTTTGCGCAGTGTGTAACATCTGGGCTGAGCGCACACCCCCTGCCGATTTATGTACGCAGCAGTCACCTTGTTGTCTGTGTGAATCAAAACGTGTTGATTCTGCAGCACAATGCAAAGTGTTGAATCACGTTCAGCACCGTGCGACACTCCAAGAACATTTATGTGGGCTGATGTGTGATGGGGCCACAGCACCCCTACTGCTTGAGATAGGCATGTCCCTCCCCCAGCCTGACAGCGCCACGTCTGTGAAGACTGACACGTGACGTGGGTCTGCTGACGGGGACTCCCTCCAACAGAACCAGGGTGTTTCCCCAGTGTCGGAGGTCTGCTCTCACGGAGGGAGGAACAGTGATCATCCGTCTCGTTTGTTTTACTGGATCCACACGCAGACGTGCAAACCACCTCAGGAGGCGTCTCGTGTAATAAACCCAGCGGGACAACTGTGTGAGCTGATGACATCATTCCTAACAGCTTCATGAAGGAAACCGCTTTTATCACTCTGCCAGGTCTTACGTGGCAGAGATGGTCTTTCAGAGTGTCGATTCTCGTTTGTGATAAACGAGCCCTCGTGGTGGTTGAGTTTAGCTCCACTCCCAGATAAACAATTGTCTGGGCCGGGAAAATCGAGCTTTTCTTCCAATTTATGGCGAAGCCCAGATTTAACAGGTGTGATGTCAACACCTGAGCCTGCATCACTGCTTCCTGTCTGGAGCGTGACAGCAGCAGCAGGTTGTCCAGGTAAAACAAAACTCTCATCCCTGCTCTGTGTAACGGATGCAGGGCTGTCTCCACACACTTTGAGAACGTATGAGGCGCGAGGGAATACCCGAACGGCAGCCTGTTGTACTGATACTTCATCCCCTTGAAAGGAGAAACGCAGGAATTTTCTGTGTTTTGGGATGATTGGTATGTGAAAATAGGCATCATTTAGGACGATGGAACAAAACAATCGTTTCTCTGGATTTTGTCCAACAGCTGTCTGGTTGTCAACATGTGAAACGGTCTGTCCATGATCACCTTGTTGAGAACTCAGATCCAAAATGGGTCTCGTTCCTCCGGTCCGTTTGGGAACCAGGAAGTAACGTGAGTAAAACCCTGTGTTTTCCTCTCCGTTGGGAACTCTAGAGATTACTTCTTTTATCAGAAGTTCCTGGACTTCTGCATTTAGGGATGAGATTTGGTCTGGTGATGACAGGACCGTCTCTAAAATTCTTCTGAACGGAAGGGGTTGGGTTGCAAATTGCAACGTGTAACCCTAGCTTAACACCCTGGCCATCCATCTGTCTGGCGAGCATGTTTTTAGCCACTCCGTGTAACGTTCATGGAGTGGACATGCGTTTAAGTGATGCGTCATGTTTTGTACGGATGTCATCCAGTCCGCCGCCTCGACCACCGTCATGTGTCGCGGGAATGTTTTCCGCGTGACCCAAGGCAAGGTTTCCTCGAAAGGGCTCTGAATGCGCCCGTGTGCTGCATTCGGACCGCAGATCCACCTTCATGTCTAGATGAGCCGGTGTGTATTGAGGGGAAGCATGTGGCAGCTGATGACGCCGTGGGGCCACGCGTTTGATGCCACTGCGGTGAAACGCGTGTCGCTCCTGCCGCGAGCGGTGTCCCGCGCTGGGTTCGCTTTGAGATATCGCATCTATGCCGCCATGAGCGGGTGAGCGCGACTTCATCTACGCCGTGTCGTTTGAGTGAAGGCTGCGAGCCCCGTGGGAGCACACGTTTTCTCTGGTGGGACGCGCGCCGCTCTCGCTGGAAGCGAGGTTCG